CAAACCTCAACTAGATTACTCTTCACCCAAACAAAGCTGCGACAAGTTTCCCAAATAAACTTGATTTGCCCAGTCTCCATCTCAAAACCCAGTTATCGCAAAGCCACTAGGCAACAGCTTCATTCCAAGGAACATTGTCACGATGCAACTTGCTGCCATTCTGACGGGCTTTCTCTCTGCTCTTCCCACTACGCTATCCGCACCTTATTCCGTTCTCACCGGCTATGGCGATCCATACAATTGCGGCTACGTCCTCACCGTCCGGAACAGCAGTGCATACGCAGGTCTCTCCGCATATACCTCGTGCACGCCAATCTATTACAATCAATCGATTCCCGGATATCAAGATGCATTCGCTTATAGCTTGTTTGGAGGCTGTGAATGCTCGTTTCATACGTAAGCCCCATCTTCACGTGAGAAATAAAACATATGCTAATAGGTGACAGGAGCGAGGAGGACTGCATGAACGCAACCGATGCGCCCCTCTATGCAGGCCCGACTCCCGGCAAGCCTGGCAAGGAGCCCTGCTTCAATGAACCGAAGCCAAAGTGGTACAACTGCGCAACCGTCGGTTAAAATTGGAAGTGAATAGCTCGCGTTGGATGACTTCGCGACAACTGGTTGAAACCAGCGGTTCGCCACTTGTGACAATAATACATAGAATGTGCAAGAAGAGGTGGTGGAGAGGGTATTCAGTAATCTTTTAGCAGTAATTTTTTGTTTCTGGCGTTGATAGGCTTTACGAGGATGCGATTAGTAGAGAAAGACATTCACTCATCGTTCAAGTTTCCCGTCCACTCCCCCTCTGTCTTACGATTGCGTTGAGAACGCAGAAGGTCATGGGTTCATGGTTCAGTATGATTCGGCCGAAAAGACAGCTCCAATTACATTAGTAGCAAGCTTGACATAGCATTTGCTTTGATAGCCCTATTCCAGACCCATCGTGGTTCTTCGTAACAGGCTCATTGTCCTTTAGACAGCCTCTGTAGTCTCAGTCTCTCCCTTCTCTTTCTTTGCAATTCTCTCGATACTGGCTCGCGCATCCCCTTTGGCCTGAGCAGTCGCGACATGCTCCATATCTTGAGCAATATGGTCGCTTCCCTTCTTCGTCCTCCAGGCGTGTGGTCCGTTTTTGCTGAACATGATCTCAACCTCTTCGAGCGTCTTACCGCAAGTCTGTCGGAATGGTTAGCCGATCTGAGTTCATCATGCAGGCGCGGATTAAATACCTCGGGGTATGTGAGGAAGAACTGGGCAGCCGCGAGGAAACACAGTATGCCGAAAACGACAAAGAGAGCCCATTTGATATTCACGAACGCGGGTGGAATGAAGAGACCGATGGCGAAATTGAATAGCCAGTTGCCTGTAAATGCATCAATATGGCGATTTTAATGGTTTTTGCAAGATATACTTACCAGTAGCGGCAATTCCCATTCCCCACGCACGGGTTTCGAGCGACCACACTTCAGCCGCGTAGACCCAGCAAATGGGGGCCAAGGTCAGAGCGTAAAAGATGATCAGGAGGTACGAAAACGCAATGACTGTGTATGCTGGTGAACCCTCAACCCGCATGACGACGTTGGCATCGCCACCGACACCTCCTGGGACGTATTCGTAGTTGGCACCGAGAACACCGCCAACCACACAGTGACAAAGGCCCATGGCGACCGCTCCCCAAACCAACAAGGTTCTGCGACCAAATTTGTCGACAAAAAAGAACATTATGGATGAGAAGATGATGAACAGAGCGTACTGGACGCCAGAGGAGACGAGTTTGATGTTACCCTCGAGACCCGCCATGGCAAAAATGTAAACCACGTAGTATGTCATCACCTGTTGAGTGATTAGCTCTGGAAACTACGATAAATTGTACACCAACTTGGCTCCATACATTTGCACCTGACAGTTGTTGCCATGCTTGGACAGAGAACCCCGCGAGAGTTCGCTTCCACATGCCGTTGCAAACGAACTTCTTCCAACCCGAAGGAGCCAAACGCTCCGCGGTAAGAACCGTGATAATCTCTTCGTATTCCGCGACAACATACGGATCCTCAATATTGCCGTCTGCTTGGATAGATGCTAGGATATGGATCGCTTCTTCCGTACGGTCGACTTTGGCGAGCCACCGGGGAGACTCTGGTAGGAAAGGGAGGCCGATCATGAACATGACGCAGGGAACGAACTGGATACCCCAAGCAGTACGGAACGATGCAGTTTCTCCGGGGATAAATGTACATCCGTAACCTATGAAATACCTACAAGAGTCAGCTTGGTGAGGCTCTGTGTGCACTTGTTACTTACATGATGAGGATACCCCATTCGATCGCTAGCTGCTGAATCACGATGATTGCACCACGCTGCGAGTGCTTGGAGATTTCCGCAAGGTACACTGGCACTTGAGACGAAGTGATGCCAACAGTAACTCCGTTCAAGACACGTCCGGCAATGAGCATGCCCCGTCCAGTTGTTGCGACTTGAAGCGCAGTGCCGACGAGCCACCAAAGACATGCGAACAAGAGGGCATCGCGGCGACCGAACTTGTCGGAAACAGGACCAGCCATGATCGAGCCAACAACGGAGCCTGCCGCAAGGGCAGAGCCAATGGCGCCCTGAACGACGCCTGTTGGATTATCGAAGAAAGTACTGGTCAACGTTAGATGATGCTAAACAACCATCCTCCTAGGAGTATTTAACTTACAGATATTGGTCGCTTGGAATGATAGCACTCATCGACGAAATGTCGAATCCGAAGAGCATACCACCCATGGTGGCAATGATAGCCAAGAAGTAGACATTATAGATCTTGGGTACTTTCGAAAACATCTTGACCACCAGGGGCTCTCCAGAGCTTCAATTGAAACAGTCGGTTGATCTCGCAACCCACGTTCGCTGGGAGACAGCCTGAATATAAAGCTTCAACATTTCAGCACTAAATGACGGTATGCTGGACAAAACGCTTGAAGCATGCATTCCCGCTGGAGACATGACTCCGCTGAACAACTCCATACCGAAGCACCCGTTGGCTGGTTAAATTGGTTAAAATGCCATACTTCCCACCTGAGCATAGCGGCAACATGCCGAACAGCGTGCCGTCGTGGCTATCGGAAAGAAACGAGGACGAGTCAGCCTCTGATCCTTGTCGATTGGCGGAATAACTGCGTCTGGGGATCTTGGGGTTAGCTTGAGGTGGAGACGAGCGCGTTCAAGAGTTTGTGGAGATCGCCTCAACCGCGTTGTGCATGTGGGTGCGTCAGTGGCGCCGTCTCTAAACCGGCGGCTTCTTCTCTAGGGATTGCTGTGATTCGACCGCTCGTGGCGACCGCACATGGCCTACACGCGGCGATGTAACATGTGATACGAGGGGGGTGGAATTGTTCCCATATGCGTTACTGTATCCGCGCGATCGTGAGATGATTGGACAGGAATGCGACAGAGGGTGGTGACAATCGATGTGCATAAGCTTGGGGCGGAATCGCGATCGTTCCCAAGCTTGGCAATGTTCGACCTTATCTTCCGACTTTTACCCCCGTTAAATGGCATTGCATTTCTATGGGTGTTCGGAATCGCACCGGATAACAATGAGTATTGATGCGTGTTCGCAAGAGGGTTGTGTTCACCTGAGTGACTAATAAGCTTGCATCTCCATCTTTGTCTTTCCCCAAGCTCATGCACGTGCGCACACTATCGTCATGGCAGTGTGGAGAATATCCTGGTATGTGACAGTCAAGACTTAGCTGCTTGGTATCTGGAGCCGTCATTACCGAGGATGCTGTTACGTCGTGGTTTCCATGCATGTTGGTCTTGCCGAAGAAAGTAAAAGCTGCATGGGACCAGAGTTTGATGACGCAAGAAATGGTGCAGTGTCAGGCCATCATATGCCTTGTTCACATTACTACTACGTCTATTCAAGCCCCTACTGATTTCAAAATGAGTATGCAGGCCGCCTTTTTCACATGTGATGTGAGACCAGCGTTGTCATGGCGCAGCATAGGCCCACGATGTTGGATTGTAACGCCAACCTGCAATAGCACAAGAACCGATGTCGCTATTTTCTAGTATTTATGGCCGACCCTGGCCTGTTTCTACAATGCAAGCGGCAGAATTGCAAGAGCTTTGTGTCTCGAGTTCACGAGGTGGGCCGATATTGCGAGATATTGCAGAAAGATTGGTACCCACCATCATACCGAGGCATTCATGGCTGGGAAGGGACCAGGAGTAAATACAAATCACCTGGGCATGTGCAGATCCGTGAGACTGATACTAACGTGTGTCTCTTAAACTGAATGCAGGATGGAAGGAGGCGTGCATGCAAGTGGCGGGTGAGATGCATTCAACATGGTGTGCGTCACTAGAAATTGGATTGGACAAAATCTACAAAAAAAGCAGAAGCGCTTGCGGTTCTTTAAATTGTTGCCTGAAGCTCTATGAACATTAGTATATCCGAATGAACCAGCTTCAACAGTTTTCATTTGCGACCACCGAACTATCCCATCAACTTCCGTGCTTCTTTCAACATCGATTGTTGAGCGTAGGGTTTCTTCTAAAGAACGGGTTAGCTGCAGAAGCAGAACCCAGGTTACGCGATGCGGTATGTCAAAATCTGTTATTCTGCCTCGACTAGAATGAGAGTAGCACGTACCAGCCAGAGATGGCTTTCGCTCAATTCACATCTACAGCCAATCTCCCTCCATCGGTGGTCTCAAGTTCGTGAGCGCTGTGAACCGTCGGGGTGAATGACTCGTCAGTGTTCGCGATCTCTGCCCCGCCCATAGCCGTCAAGAGCAACCCTTTAATCAGGCTCCACCCAACTAAAATCGCGTCTTCCCTGCCCCCCTGTCCAGTTTCGGCGTTTGCGTCTCGAGGAAAAGTCCCCACCCTTCACCACACCATGAGCCCATTTTCAATGATCACTATATGCGTTGTAATTCTGCATCCCTCCATCAACAATGGGTACGATTCACCATCCAACATTCATTCAGTTCAAGTCTAACATCAAGTTCAGTCTTATGGTCTAGTGGTATGATTCTCGCTTAGGGTAACACCCAAGCACAGCTTGCGAGAGGCCCCGCGTTCGAGTCGCGGTAAGACCCCATCTTTTTTGCACTGCAGATAGACAGGGCGCAGTCTTTTTGCTTCCATTACTGTTGCGGGGCACATTGCTTTCTCCACTACTCCGGGTGTTGGTTACATGGTATGGAAGGGAGTGGTGGTCGGAGGTGCTCTTTTTTTTTCGCAGAGCCAAACCTTTGTCCGGGATCCTGTAGCTGCTACCAGCAGCCTTTCTCAAGACAATCATTCTCCTACTCGCTTCACGTACTATCTATCCTCCTGCCAGTGCCGCTCGTTCTGTTCTTTCCTAGCGTGCTGCGTGGAACCCGCTGTTCATCTGGTCATAGCTTGCACCCTCGACTTAAAGCCACTCTGACCTTGAAGTCCTCACAACCCGCCATTATCAACCCACCCAGGTGGAGTCTAACATCAAATCACGATGCAACTGCGATGGGACTACCCGTCGGGCTTCGCGGTGGGAGCCTACGGCCCGACAACGTCGAATCACAAGTGCGTATTGGTGCAGTACCTGCATGAAGGCTTGGGCTTGGCTGACTTGTTGTAGCTTCTGTGAAGAGGTACCTGGTTCTTTTAATAATACTAGAGGAGGATGAAAGACTCACACGGATCAAGGACTACATCATCACACCTTACATTGGTGAATTCGTCAATACACTCACAAACATGATATACGGTTCGTTCCAGCCATCTCTAAATCAATTTACCCGGACGAAAAGTCGCTCACACGATGCGCATGTAGTAATCTACGGGATCCACGGCCTGCGCCGCGTCACGTCCAAACCAGAGGGCGGACTAATTTCGACGCTCGCGTTTCCTTACTGGGGTCTAATCGGCGTAGGCGTCCTCTCCGCCTGGTTTCGTAAGTTTTCCTGTACGAACTGCGTGTGAGACCAAAACTGACTTTCGTACACCTACATTTAGACGCGACGCTAAAGTACCACTCGCAGATGGGCGACGACCTGTCCATGTTCCTGGCTGTTGGCGCCGTCTTGCACCAGCTTCTCTGTTACCAAGCCACAGCCGCCGAACGCCAGAAATACACGGCTTATATCCTCGGCAGTCTGATTCCTATCTCCATATACCACGTCTGGGCCGACGAGATTATCATGCATGAGATTGCTTTCGCGGTCATGATCTACCTTGTATCCAAACACGCTCGTGCGCTCATCAAGAAGCAGGTCGCCGATGAAGCGGCGCGCAAGAAACTGGGTAAGCTGGCTACATTCGGCATCTCAACTGGTTTGTTTGGGTACTTTCTTTGGAATATCGATTTCCATGCTTGTAGCTATGTTACGAGGTTTAAGCATTGGGTGGGATTGCCTTGGGGATTCCTGTTCGAGTTGCATGGCTGGTGGCATATCTTCACGGCGATTGGCGCGTACGTGGGTATGGCGTTGGTGGAGTATTTGGTCACGATAGAAGAGGGGGAGACGAAGAAGGTGGAGGAGGGGTTTGTGTGGCCGGTTAAGGCTGTGCTGAGGGACATGGATGGCGTTGAGCAGAAGGGTGCGGATGGAAAGAAGGGATTGTAGGATGGCGACTCCAACACCGGGATGTGAAAAGTAGGGGCTGGGGCATCCAACGATGTTGTTGTGGTGTTTTGTGTGTATGTTAGCGTAGAATCATAGACATAGACAAGATAGCTGTACGAAGACATTTGGCCGTGCGTCTTCTCGAAGCCTTTTCTGTCCTACTCACCAGGCACCCAACATCGTTCCTGCCCGTCTACACGACGACATGCCACGTTCTTCATCCGTAGAAATCACCCACCACCCATTCCAGACCTTCAACAGTGCTCGCACCCCGCGCATCGGACATGCCCTAAGTCCATGGAGTCGCGTCACGCTACACGCTGATTGGTCGAACGGAGTTAAGATGGTAAAAGCGCTCGCCCGGCTAGATGCATGATGCATATAGACGCACTTGGCGTCATCAGGCGCGTTACATAACCAAAAGGTTTCGGGCCCGAGAAGAACTTCAACTAAGTATATAAGAATCTGGGTTCTGGACGAGAGCGAAGAGACACCATCAACAAGCGGTACAAACAAGAAACGGTGCAATTGCGGTGATATCATCGACTTGTATTTACCCCACCAACTGTCTAACAAAAAAACTTCGCACGCGACAGACATCAAGATGCCTCAACTCGTTGGAAAGAATGTAGGGCCAGTTGGCTACGGACTCATGGGTACGTTGTTTATTACCTACCATGGACTTGACAGGTGTTGACGATTATAGGCCTCACATGGCGCCAGAACCCACCACCAGCGGAGCAGAGCTACGAAGCTATGCGCACTGCGCTTTCCCTCGGCGCAAACAACTGGAACGGTGGAGAGCTTTACGGAACGCCTGAGCGCAACTCTCTCCACCTCCTCAACGAGTACTTCACAAAGTACCCCGGGGATGCGGACAAGATTGTTTTATCCCTCAAGGGCGGTCTCAAAAAGGGCGAGATGATGCCCGATGGCAGCCGGGAGAACGTCAGGCGTAGTATTGACGAATGCCTCAGGGTTTTGGACGGCAAGAAGAGCCTTGATTTGTTCGAGTGCGCCAGGGTGGATCCCAACACACCAATCGAAGACACTGTTAGCTACATTGCAGAGTATGTCAAAGATGGCAAGCTCGGTGGCATAAGCTTGTCAGAGGTTGGTGCGCAGTCCATTCGTAAGGCCCACAGCGTGCATCCAATCTCAGCTGTTGAGGTTGAGTTTTCGCTTTGGTCTACAGACATTCTTCAGAATGGTGTGGCAGCAACCTGCGCAGAGCTGGGCATTACCATTGTCGCATACTCTCCCCTGGGACGTGGCTTTCTTGTAAGTATAGCCCTCTCGACATGAGATAGCTACCACTGACCAGCTCTCAGACGGGCAAGTACAAGAAGCACAGCGACATTGAGCCCGACTCGTTACTGCTGCACATGGACAGGTTCCAGCCCGAAGTCTTTGACGAAAACATCAAACTGCTCCACGCCGTTGAGGATATAGCCAAGGCTAAGGGTGCCACGCCAGCTCAGATTGCGCTGGGCTGGGTACTTGCGCAGAGCGGTACCAAGGGTATGCCCACTATTATTCCTATCCCAGGTGCCACCACATCGGCAAGGATTGAGGAGAACACGAAGCCGGCGAAGCTCAGCGACGAGGATATGAAGGCGCTAGATGATATCTTGAAGAAGTTCCCGATCAAAGGTGGACGGTACAACAAAGCCATGTCGCAATTGCTATTTGCATAGGTAGTTGAGGACCTAGTCAAATATACTTGTCAGCACTGTAGATGTAATACGTAACAAGTTGCATTGTATGAGAGAGCAGAGGGTCAGGTATATGTGTAGTGTATGAGCTAATCCGCATTCGAGTCACCGTGAGGCAGCTCTTTGGAATTGCAGAACTCTGGAATAAATCATCATAGAGGAGAGAGTGAGAGACAGAGAGAGAGAGTGTGTGTGTGGATTGTACTTACATGCGCCGCATTCTTCAGCTCTCGCGCCGCATCTTTCAGAAGGGGAGCGAATCAAACATGAACATGGCCATGCATGAAGGCAGAGCCAGCTAAGGTTGCGAACGAGGGTGAGGTGTTGGAGAAGAATAAGATTCGTTACCCAGAAAAGTGGGTGGGAAGCTAAACGCATGGCCCCTGCACCTCCGCTAGACGTCCAGCGCGCGCCGGTTGGGAGGTGCAACACGCTCCCTTACGCAAACGCGCCCATTCACCGTACGGCCAGCGCATTCGCCCAGTCGGCAACATGGATTCCCCTTCAGATCTTTCCGAGTATGGTAGCGATGATTTTCCCGAAGATGTAAAAGGCAGCCGTCAACGCAGCTACGAAGCCACACCTGACCACGACCAGCGCCCCAGCAAGCGGCCACGCCTGAACATCCGCGCGCCCTCGTCGCCCCCAGCTCCTATCAACACGATGCCGCCGGAACTGGACGAAGACTTGTCTGAAGATACAGATGGGTCGGTACCGGCATCTCCGCACCACCACCCGGGCATGTCGCAAGACGACGACTATGGCCAGGAGCAGGTCACCATATGCAAATGGGATGGCTGCACAGCGGGCGACTTGCAGAACATGGACAATCTGGTCGAGCATCTCCATGACGACCACATCGGAACGAGACAGAAGAAGTACAGTTGCGAATGGAGCGACTGCACGAGGAAGGGCATACCGCATGCCAGTGGATACGCATTAAGGGCGCACATGCGCTCTCACACGCGAGAGAAGCCATTCTACTGCACGCTTCCAGGTACATGCTCGACTCCCGATAACTATGCCTGAAGCGCCATCTAACTCGTCCCAGAATGCGACCGCTCTTTTACCCGCTCCGACGCGCTCGCCAAACACATGCGTACAGTCCACGAGACGGAAGCGCTACGACCCTCGGACCCCGTACCTAAACACCACTCGTCCAACCCTACCAACAACAAGCAGCGTCTGAAGCTCGTCCTCAACAGCGAGGCCAAGAAGCTACCCCAAGACAAGGCCTCAACCCCCGGCTCCCCATCCTCACACTCGCACCCACCAAACAGCGCCGCAATCCCGCCTGCTGCACCCGCCTCTGACCACGACTACGCGCACAACAACGTCGTTTACCTGCAAGACCTCGCGAGCCCATCTGGCCCGACGCTCGTGCAATTCCCACCAGACATTGAGTTCACGGCCGACGAGCTCCGGAAACCCGCAAATGAGCTATTCCAGCTCCTGCGCAGGCAATTACAGTGGGCGACCAAGGAGGGCGACCAATTACGCGCCGAGGCTGAGGAGCTGGAGAGACAGCGTCAGGAGGAATGGCAGGCAAAGGAGCTGCTATTCGAGAACTTTATGGAGGCACAAGCAGCGACGGAACGGCGGAGGCGCGTCGAAGAAGGCATGCCTGAAGACATGGAAGGTTGGCAGTCTGTCGAGAACGATATCCTACCCTCCAAGTCGCTACCCATTGCACCCAAGGATGGGAAACTACCTTGGTGGCGCGAGGATGCCGCCCAGGCTCAGAGACCGGTCATCAAGGAAGGACACCAGCCAT